TAGATATGTAGATAACTGAGAAGCATTTACAGATTTTAGACAATAATCATTTTACTGGAGCGACAGGAGGAATTTGAAGCAATAACCTTCGAAAAAGTTCAAATAAACTTAATTATATATTTATATACAAGTACTAGCATCAAAATTTAAAGCATTCGTGCATACCAATGCCAATAGATGTGCTGCACTAATGCTGTACACACAGCTAATCACGGAAAATATTGAAACATTAGTGTAGCATTTCTTGTATAATATTAGTGCACAGTTCTGTAATCGAAAAGAAAATTTCTGCATAAATATCCGGAATGAAAATTTTCTTCTACGTTAATCTTATATAAGGCTTCTCCACGTAAAACTCACCTTTTACTTAAGTACTTAACTTTTTGTGATAATCATAGCTCTTCAGCCGAAAAACGCAAAGAGTTGGGGAACGTCCTATTTTGTAGCTTAAAAATTTTTTATTTTAAATAGTGATCAAGCAAAGTCTAGCAGTTGACTAGTTTGAGTGACACAATGTTTTTGGTATACGTCACCTTCGTACAAAAGGGTCTTATTGGTGGGAATGATAGGCACGTGTTTAGATTAGAGCTAGGCTTTGCTTAGTTATGTTTAAGCTACAAAAGAGGACGCCCTGGTTTACGCTTTTTGGGTCCTAGTCTGAGACGGGTCGTATATGCTGTTTATATTTACGTTATAGTCTAACAACACCACCATGCTCTGAAAATGTTATCTGGATAATATTTCGTGGTGAAATGGAATTTTCTGATGATGAATTACAATTGTTACATAATAATGTATTTTTTGAAGACTTTCGTGAACCGCAACCACTGAATAATCGAATAGTGTTAAGAAGTTATTCAAAAGAAGATAATTCAACATTAACATATCAATCCTATCATTGCAATGCGCAACAACCAGTACAATCATCAACATCGTTCATTTATTCTGCTGCTTGTTGGAAATATTTTGCTTTATTTATTATTTCTTACATTATTTTCTGAAAAGAAAATTATGAATTTTACAAAATTTTGATTATTTATTTCAAATATAACTCAAAAGTCCACCATTCTGGTTTCTTTTTCAGTGTTAGCGTCACATCAGCTCTTCAAAATGACATAAACTCCAAATTTTGTTGATAATATACGGTTAATCAATTTTCTCATCAAAAGCCACCTTTGTCTGTATATAGAGTACTTCGGGGTAATTAGAGGCATTCTTCGAAAGTTTCGTCCTTTTTTTGCTATTTCTTGGCCGTTTTTGATCGGAAAAAGTTGCTATTGAACATGATGGTAGACCAAACATTTTTCTACACGCTCATGTAAAAATCTTTTCAAAAACTCCGGCCAATTTTGAACCAGATCCAAAATGCGAAGAGCTCCATCAAAGTGCCTCTAATTATCCCGTACGGGGTAATTAGAGGCACTTCACTTATACGCTTGGGGTAAATAGAGGCACTCCGTTCAAATACATGGAGTTTTAATGTACAATTGCTGGTGAATTAAGCTTAGGAGATAATTAGTTCAAAAATACCTCATTTTGTAGCCCAGATCTTCCTCTCTCTACCATATAGTTTTGAGCTCATTATCATTTAAACTCATTAAGCTAATTAGCACATAATCAACAACACTAGAATTTTTTTTTCTTTTTATGCTTTGGGGTAAATAGAGGCACTCGTATAATTTCTTCGGGGTAAATAGAGGCACTCCACTGAAATACACGGAATAGTCAGAGACAAACCTTTACCGACTCTCAGAAGTCGAATTTAGGATTACCAAGTGACAAAGTTCTTCAGACTGCTGAACTCTATCACATATGTGAAAAGTAGCTCATTATTTCAGTGGATAAGCTATCATACTGGCTTCACACTATGTACGATATTAATTTGAATATATTTTATGGGCTAAATTAATTTTAAAATTAATTATGACACCTAGAAACAAAAACTTTTGATAAAATCCTCTGTCTATAGCGTACATAAGCATCTCCTCTATCAAATGCAAAAACAATTATCTGAAACTTATGAGAACTACGCAAGATAACGCCAAATTATCCGACATATGTCTCCTCTGAATGAAACATA